GAAAACAAAAAGGGCAGAATCCCGAGTCCCAAAAGTAATGCTTCTTTACTTGGGGAGCTCAGAACAATCAAAAGCTCAACCTTTGTTTGTTGCGCTGTTGGATTTGTTCAAGGCCTGTCACTGGAATACTTTGTCGGGATGCTGTTGTTTTTCGTGGGGCGTCTAGTTTGCTTGTTCTGCGTGGCTGTTTTGTGTGCAGCGTCTCAGGCTACTGGGAAGCTCGGGTTCCGTGGGGCTGCCTTACCCCAATTTGAGACCTGTGAGCGATGCCTTGCATCCGATTCCATCCTTCCTATCCGCAGGTGACCTGGTCTTCACGAACTGCTCGGCGCAAGAAAATGGCGGAGCTGTTCGCCTAGAAGGGGACTTTGTGCAGTCAGGCAAGTCTTCCTTCCAAGCTAGCGGAGCTTGGCGTGCTTTGAACCTAGCCAAGCTTCTGGGCTGTTTAGGCTGTCTGTCCTCGGCTTCAAATCTGAGCTTCGGGAGGCTCATGTCCCTGCTCCCAGCGAGCAGCATTTGCCTGGAAGTTGTAAGCAGGGTTATTTTCGCTGCCGTTTGTGTTGCCTGCCTTGGCAGGGGGCAACGTGTCCTTCCACAATTGCTCGGCCAAGCTTGGAGGTGCCTTGCACACCCAGGCCGGAGCAGTTCATTTTCAGGGACATGAACATATTTGCGAATGTGGAAAGGACCGCAAGCCCTTTCCGGGGTCTGGACCAGAACCAACGATAGGTGCTTGCCGGTTTTTGGGTTGGCAAAGCTGAGATCCACCCAAAACCCGCCCAGGGCTTCGTGAGGGTGTCGGCCGGGCAACTCCTGGCGTCGAACTGCCAGTCTTCAGGGCGTGGAGGCGTTGCTTTTGCCGATGGTTTTCACCGGCCCACTTCCTCCAGGGAAGACAGGGTCTATGCCAAGAATAGTGACTATCTAGTGTCTATACAATACACTGTGGTGGTTGCATATGCGTATCCCGAGCGGTGGTTGGGGGTAGTGGGCACCACAGTTGATCTGCGATTCAAAGCGGTCAAGTTAAATGGGAATGAGGGCTTGGAGAAACGGCAGGACTCTTGGACCAGCAACATGTTGAATGCCAAAAGAATCAAACCGCGGGACCACCACCGGGCCGTTTCAAATGTCAGGGAATGAAGTGTACCAGCCTCGCTACTCCAAGGTGGCCTCACTTACCCACAGGATCCTGGTGTTGGCTATGACAAACAACTATGTCAATTAAAACCGAACCCCTTTCTTGAGCCTTGTTTGTTGAACCTTGTTTAACCTTACCATTTCAACTCCTGAACAAGATTCAAGGAAATTTAGCACTTAACCCCAGAGGCACCCTGTGGGCTGACACCTTGCTGCAGACCGGCGGCAGCATTGTGCCCCGGCGACGTGTGTTTCTCCAAAGAGCAACGTGATGCGCATGTGTTCCTGCTTGGGATTCTTGTTTTCCTCTCTATTCTTGCCTTATTTATGTCTTTACTTCTTTCTTTATTTCTCTCCTTCACTCTTCATGTTGTTCTTCCGTCGTTTCTATTTAGTATACTTATTGTGTTTTTGTCTTAGTGTATGTACGCCTGTCTTTCTGTTGGGTAAGTATATCATTGATTATTTATTTGTTGTGCTATTTATTCGTTGATCATTGATTTGATTGATTGATTGATTGATTGATTGGTTGGTTGGTTGATTGATTGATTGATTGATTGATTGATGGATTGATTGATTGTTTGTTTGTTTGTTTGATTGATTGATTGATTGATTGATTGTTTTATTGTTTTATTGAGGTATGTACATATTCCTTTCGTTATGTCCTTCTTTATGTCTTCTTTTATGATGTATTGATTTATGTTTTGTTTATCGCTCTCTCTCTCTTTCATTATGTCGTTCTTTCTTTGCGGTTTTATTTATTGTGTTGTTTGTAATTATTGTTGGTATTTATTTGTTTATTTATTTATTTATTTAGTTATTTATTTATTTGTTTATCTAGGTATTTGTTTGTTTATCTATGTTCATTATTTATTTCCTTATGTATTTCCTTCTTTCTTTCTTTCTTTCTTTCTTTCTTCCTTTCTTCCTTTCTTTCTTTCTTTCTTTCTTTCTTTCTTTCTTTCTTTCTTTGTTTTCTTTTGTTCTTTCTTTATTTCTTTATTTGTTTCTTTCTTTTTATTCTTTATTTTTATTATTTCTCTCTTGTCGTTCTTTCTTGCTTTCTTTCTTTCTTTCTTTATTTATTTCTTTCTTTCTTTATGTTCTTTTTTCCTTTTTTTATTTGTTTATTTGTTTCTTTCTGTTTATTCTTTCTTTTTATTATTTCTTTCTTTCTTGTCTTTCTTTATTGCTTTATTTCTTTTCATTCTGTCTGAAATTTATTTATTTCTGTTCTTGGCTGTTTTTTCTTCTTTCGTTCTTTCCTTCTTTCTTTCTTTCTTTCTTTCTTTCTCCGTTAGTTCTCTTTTTTTCTCCTTCAGTCCTTGTCTTTCCGTGTTTATTTACTTAGTACGTATTTATTTATTAATTTAGTGCTTCATGGTTTCCCTTTCTTTGTATTGTCTCCCCTTCTTGTTTCTTTCTTGTTTATGTGTTTCTTCATTTCTTTCTTTCTATCATATTTTCGCTCTTTCTTTATTCTTTCCTTTTTCTTTCTTTCACTAGTTGCATTTCTGTTTGTATGTCTGTCGGTCTGTGTGTCTGTCCGTCTGTCGATCGGTTGTTCGGTCTGTCGGGTCGGTCGGTCAGTCGGTCTGTCTGTGTGTCTGTCTGTCTGTCTGTCTGTCTGTGTGTGTTTGTGTCTGTGTCTGTGTCTGTGTCTGTGTCTGTGTCTGTGTCTGTGTCTGTTTGCCTGTGGTTTTGTCTTTTTTGTTAATGATATCGTTTGTTGTTTCTTTTCTGTCTTTCTTTCTTTCTGTTTGTTTGTCTTTCTTTCTGCCTGTCTTGCGCTCTTTCTTTTGTCTTTCTTGCTCTATACCTTTCTCTCTATCTCTCTTCATTTTTGGGCAGAACGAGCAACTGGAGGTTCAGGCTCCACACCCCGCTGCCGGGAAAATACAGTGGATGGACGAAATCCTGCACCACGTTGAAACCATGGTTGAAGCCATGTTTGCAATCGAAAATCATTCCGTTGGGTTTCTTAGGTGGTACAGGATTTCGTCCATCCACAGTATGACCCTGGCCAAGCTTGACCCGAACAGTTTGGGCTTGCCTTTGGTTCCCAAGCGGTGAGGGTTTGCTGCAGCATGCAAACCAGCAGCTGACCTTGTTTGTTTGCAGACGCCAAGCATGCCAGCGGGAAGGCAACTGGAGACCGAAAAAGCATCAGCTCGGCAAGTGAGTCTTAAGTCAAGTCTGAAGTGGCTTCCAGAGATTGGTCTGGTCGGCCATTAGATTCCCTGCCCCAAAGCAACAGCCACAGTAGTCTGAATACCTTCAAAGGCTGCTTTAGAAGAGTTGATTGACAAGAATCTTCAGCAAACTCGGACCGCGCTACGTGTGAAGGATTGAGTGCTCGGTATTCTGGTTGCTCTAGACCCCTGAGTGCATGAATGACTCGATTGGACTCACAACAATCAATACGTTCAACTACTCAGAGCCCTGTTGACTGGTGGCTGCTTGAGTTGGGATTAATATGGCAAAGGCAGGAGGGCAGCAATTGGGGAAGCTTCCACGCCGCCTTGTCAATCAAATCCACGGTCAATTGGGTGGGTTGTTTTTGGGTACCCATCCTGACTTGTTTCGACAGGGGATCGATGCCCATTTTCAGGGGTCCACCATTTTGAGAGAAGCTCACGTTAGGACTTGGTGGACGGCAGCGGAATCGAAGGCGGCTTCGCCTTTGTGCACTTCCTGAACCAGCCCCTTGGTAAGCAGAAGCTGCCAGTCAAAGGACTCTGAGGTTGTGACAAACGGGTTCCATTGCAATTACCAAGGGACAATCATGTGTAACATGCTAGAACCCATTTGTTGGAGATCATTGAGGAATCAGGAATCCCATATAATTTCTGAGTCCAAGGGAACCACGCCTGATTCGTACGGTCCTTTGGATGAAGCCGAAATGAAGCTTAGGAGGGGTCAGTCACAACTATAACAAAGTGAGGCAAGCCCTTTCGATAATTTTACATAGCTTTGGGAAGACGCTACAACCAAGTTGTGGTTTGAATCAACAGGTTCAAAGAAAAATCAGCGTTTGGAGCAATGTATGTTTTGCAACATGAAAGAAACATGAGGATGGGTGGATCATGTCAAAGCAATCAGGCCAACCAAAGCTGCAGGCCTGTTTTCCACCCAGGTGTTATGCTTTGCGGAAGCAGGTTTGACTCCCTGGCTCAAACTGAGATTTGGCATGCGAGGTGGTCCCAACACTTCAAGTGACTCAGTTTGGCTTTTTGTCATTGTCGACCCATCTTGGTCCAGTCATGAAAGCAGACCAGAAGACTTGCTTCCATTCTAGTTGACAGCATGCAAATCCGATTAGTCATGTATGGCAACGTGCAGACTTCACACCTTTGCTTGCCCGGATCTACCAGACTAGAATGATCATGGGCTGAGTGCAAAGCAAGAACTGTGACCGTTTGTGGTTTTAGTCCTTTCTGAGGCTGTATGAGAAACGCTCAATCTTGGGTGTGCCTTCTATGTACAGAGGCTGACAAAGTACTTGGTAACGAGGAGTGCATGGCTGAATTATTCTCGGGGTTCCTGGCCAAGCTTCTGGGCTTCATCTTGACAAGGACCCGGGGCTTTTTGTCCTTCCGGCGCGGGTGGTCACGCTCTGGCGGGTGTTTGCACGCTCACCTGGGCTACTTCAGTGCTGGAGAGGTGACCTTTTCCCGCTGCTTCAGCGTGGCTTGGCCCTCAATCTGCCAAATCAAATCGGGCTCGATTTGAAAGGTATGGGTTCGAACACCCTTGAATGTGTTTGGGGATATTTGTGCGATGACCTCTTCTTCCTATATTCTTTCCACATTCCGATGATTTACCTTGCCAAAGTAGCTGGTTTTAATTTAGCCGGGTATTCAGATGCGATTCACAAAAGACCCTTGGATTTTTAGTCGGGAGGGTCAATCAGGGAGTGGTCGGATTCCTAATTGTTCTTGGCAACCCAGACGGCAGCGAAGAATGCCCAAAGGCTTTCCAAAGGCAGAGCCATACTGTGCTTCTAGGATCTGGGCCTAAGTCCAATCAAGTCATGTGTCTTACTTTCTTCTTTTCAGCTAGCTTTGCGATCTGCCACGATTGCAGTATGAATCAAGTGCGCCAGCCCGTGGAAGCCTGTGACAGCGACACGAGAGTCCTGCGTTTGGACAACGCCCACTTCCCCCCCACCACAACAAACATATAAACATGTCCCCAACAGCAACCCCTGGAACCCTTCCGGAGCCTTGTAGGAGCCACTCCGAGCCTCTCCAAAGTCTATTTGGGCAAAGACCCCAATATTCACGAGAAATCTGCACTTGCTGTTGTCGCCAATTTCTCGACAATGTCAACTCCTGGCCGAAACCCTGGAATCTGTGTCCAACATTAGGGTCTGGCTCCAATCATAATTTGTGGCCATGTTCGGTCGGAAATAGCGTTGGACCCTAGACACCCTCTTCCAAGGGGTAAATCCAAAGCGGGAGTCAGCAGCAGGGAAAGGTCCAAACACCAGGTAGCTTACAAGAGAGAGCCTCCAGTTAGACACCTCAGAACGAGCTTGCGTCGGAGCTCCCAGTTTTGATACTGTTACATCCGTGCATATGGATTTGTCTTGATTGAGGGAGCAATCCAACCATGTCGTTCCCTTCAATCTACCCTTTAAACCAACCACGAAGCAGGTGCCCCTGAGCAAAAAAGGCAGTTTTGACAGGGCCCGTGATTTTGGAGTGCCCGGACTAAGTGGATTGGGGATTTGAACCGAATCATGGCAAGCCCCCTGGCCTCCAAGCCTCAAAGTCTCGCCCATGACGCGCCGGCCAGACGGGCAATGCTGGAGCACTGTCAGCTGGCCACGGCATTCGGGGTTCTACGGGCTTCAAAGCCTCAGGTGGGCGGGACTGGGTTCCCTGTTTTTCCACTTTGGTTTGTGACCATCACCTTTTCGGCCAATTTATAGTGAGTCTCCTTCCGCTGGAGATTTGTATTCTTGGTTTGCCGCACCAGGCCAGTGACCTATGAAGTCTTGCCAGGAAAACTTTGCAGTTACAAACTGCATGCTTGTTGCTGGCTGCTGGCTGCTGGCTGCTGGCTGCTGGCTGCTGGCTGCTGGCTGCTGGCTGCTGCTGCTGGCTGCTGCTGGCGGCTGGCGGCTGGCGGCTGGCGGCTGGCGGCTGGCGGCTGGCGGCTGGCTGCTGGCTGCTGCTGCTGGCTGGCTGCTGCTGCTGCTGCTGCCTGCTGGCTGCTGGCTGCTGCCCTCTTGCTGCCTGCTGCTGCCTGCTGCTGCCTGCTGCTGTCTGCTGCTGCCTGCTGCTGCTGGCTGGCTGCTGCTGCTGCTGCTGCTTCTGCTGCTGCTGGCTGCTGCTGCTGGCTGCTGGCTGCCTGCTGCTGGCTGCTGGCTGCCTGCTGCTGGCTGCTGGCTGGCTGCTGCTGGCTGCTGCTGGCTGCTGGCTGCTGCTGGCTGCTGCTGCTTGCTGGCTGCTGGCTGCTGGCTGCTGCCTGCTGGCTGCTGGCTGCTGGCTGCTGGCTGCTGGCTGCTGGCTGCTGGCTGCTGGCTGCTGGCTGCTGCTGCTGCTGGCTGCTGGCTGCTGGCTGCTGGCTGCTGGCTGCTGGCTGCTGGCTGCTGGCTGCTGGCTGCTGGCTGCTGGCTGCTGGCTGCTGCTGCTGGCTGCTGGCTGCTGGCTGCTGGCTGCTGGCTGCTGGCTGCTGGCTTGGCTGCTTGCTGCTTGCTGCTTGCTGCTGCTGCTGCTGCTGCTGCTGCTGCTGCTGCTGCTGCTGCTGCTGCTGCTGCTGCTGGCTGCTGGCTGCTGGCTGCTGGCTGCTGGCTGCTGGCTGCTGGCTGCTGGCTGCTGGCTGCTGGCTGCTGGCTGCTGCTGCTGGCTGCTTGCTGCTGGCTGCTTGGCTGCTGGCTGCTTGCTGCTGCTGCTGCTGCTGCTGCTTGCTGCTTGCTGCTTGCTGCTTGCTGCTTGCTTGCTGCTGCTGCTGCTGCTGCTGCTGCTGCTGCTGCTGCTGCTGGCTGCTGGCTGCTGGCTGCTGGCTGCTGGCTGCTGCTGCTGGGCTGCTGGGCTGCTGGCTGCTGCTGGCTGCTGCTGGCTGCTGCTGGCTGCTGCTGGCTGCTGGCTGCTGGCGGCTGGCGGCTGGCGGCTGGCTGCTGCTGGCTGCTGCTGGCTGCTGCTGGCTGGCTGGCTGGCTGGCTGGCTGGCTGGCTGGCTGGCTGGCTGGCTGGCTGCTTGCTGGCTGCTGCTGCTGCTGCTGGCTGCTGGCTGCTGGCTGCTGGATGCTGGCTGCTGGCTGCTGCTGGCTGCTGCTGGCTGCTGGCTTGCTGCTGGCTGGCTTGCTGCTGGCTGGCTTGCTGCTGGCTGCTTGCTGCTTGCTGCTTGCTGCTTGCTGCTTGCTGCTGCTGCTGCTGCTGGCTGCTGGCTGCTGGCTGCTGGCTGCTGGCTGCTGGCTGCTGGCTGCTGGCTGCTGGCTGCTGGCTGCTGGCTGCTGGCTGCTGGCTGCTGGCTGCTGGCTGCTGGCTGCTGGCTGCTGGCTGCTTGCTGCTGGCTGCTGGCTGCTGGCTGCTGGCTGCTGGCTGCTGGCTGCGGCTGCTGGCTGCTGCTGCTGCTGCTGCTGCTGCTGGCGGCTGCTGCTGCTGCTGCTGCTGCTGCTGCTGCTGCTGCTGCTGCTGCTGCTGCTGCTTGCTGCTGCTGCTGCTGCTGCTGCTGCTGCTGCTGCTGCTGCTGCTGCTGCTGATGATGATTATACGTAGGTCGAGTTGCTGCTTCAAGATCGCTCTTTGCTGGCATCATAGCAGACAAGGAATGTGTGTTTCGGGATGCCCAATGCAAGTGCGCCACAAGCAACAGAGTTTGCAGAATGTGTAGCTGTGTTTCGTTATCCTTCACTTTGCTTCAGAAACACACACTTTGGAAACAACCATGATGTGTGATTGGCATGCGCTTGTCACAGTCCTGCAAAGGGATCTTGTTGAGCAACTTTGCCTGCCGGAAAGGATTTTGCAAGCCAATGCATGATCCCTACCTCTCGTTCATGGATTGCTTGGGGCTAGTGTGCAATCCTCTGGCTGCGTTCCATACTTGCACTTTCTCTGCTCCGCTTGCATGTGTCAGTTGCAACATGTTCAAAAGGACGACAGCCAGGAACAACACCAACGCGCGAGGAACACCAGAAGGAATGCTAAGCAACAGCAAGAAGTAGAGCCAAAATAATACCAACACCTGGCAATCGCAAGACAGGTTCCAATGGAGAAATTAAGAAGAAACACGGAACAAACAAGCGCGAAATCAGTCAGTGCGCGTTTCCACACAACACGAGGAACTGACAATATTACCAGGAGGGTGTTGGTGTTGCGTGGCCGCACAGGTTTCGCAGGTTGGTATCGGTTTTGGGAACGCCCCTATTGGTGGGAATATTGTCGCATCACTTTTCCAGCCCGCAGGTATCCTCCGCTTCGAGCACTGCTACGGACATACCGGGGGTGCTGTGCTCGTTTCGTCCGGGGGCGTCCCCAGGCAGCAGGAGACCGGGCACGGGTCCGATAGGTTTAAAACAGGAGTCAATCCACGGCAAGCAGCTTGAGCAACGGTCATTTTTTGCGATTCACCATCATCGGTGGTAAACTGGGTGCACTCACCAAATTACCATCAAAATGCGGGTTACTCAGCAAGCTCATTGTCACGTTCACTTGGGAAAGCGATGTTCAAGCTCTTCAAGCGGTTGACATGTCTTTGGTGTCGTGGAAAAAACACATCCCAAGCTCAAATTCCAAATGCCGTAGATCCAAAGACCCCAAGTTTTGAGACAGCCCCACAAAGCCGCGCTGGAACATAGGTGGATCTGAATGGCTCCGTCACCTTTGAGAATTGCACTGCTGCTGACGACGGCGGAGCCCTTTTGGCGGCCTTGCTGCATTTGTGTCAGGCTCCCATGGCATCCCTCAAAAAAAGCACCTGGTGCCGCCTTCCTACCAAATGGGCGCTTCCCTTCTTTTTGCTGTCTCACCGGTGTCAAAGGTACGAGACAGGAATATCTGACGTTTCGCAGGTCCTTTAGGGTCAGAGACCCCAAACAGAGCAATCATATTTTTCAGCCAGCCCCAAAATTTGTCCGATGCGCTGGGCTGTATTTGGTCCCCACAAGGGGATTGCCAACTTAGGGCGTTCGGGACCGTTTTGCAGACTGAAGACGTCCCATATCACTGTCCGAAGGGCGCCCTTCTCAGGATCTTGTTCCGCACAGTTACATTTGTCGGGATTGTGTCCAATCCATTTTAGGGTGGGTTTATGGAAATTAGGTATAGGCTTAATGTGGGTTTCGGGTGCGATTTGGCTTAGGGTGTAGGGTTGCTTTAGGATGTGGGTTCAGTTGGTTTAAGCTGGTTAGTTAGGGTGGGTTTAGGGTGGGTTGAAGGTTCAGGGTAGGCCTATGGGCTTATAGAGTGTGGGTTTAGAGTTGGTTGCAGCTGGATTTAGGGTGGGTTTCCGGATTTCCTGTGGCGTTTGTCAAGTGAATACCCAAGCTGCAGCGGATTTTGAAACGTGCCCCGCAGTATGGTTGAGGGGACGCAAGCATGTCACTAGTAACCATGAACACTGTTGACCCTCGATTTGTTCCCGGCCTTACCCACTCGCAAGGCTTCAAAAAGTACAAAACCTGAACCCGAACTCGACCCACTTCCCGAACCATTTTTGAGCCCGAAACTAGTTCCCGGACCATGTCCCTATCCAGTTCTCAAGCCAATTCTGGAGCCGGTTCCCGATTCGGTTTGCGAACTAGTTCCCGTGCTAGTTCTCTGGCAGCATCCCACAAGTAACTCGTGAGGTAGTTTTCGAGATTGTTGACAAGAGGGTTCCGAAAATAATTCAATATTCAACTCCGGCTCTTCTCCCGGTCCCCGAAAGGTGCAGAGCGGGGACGTCGTGCAAGGCGACGGCGCCGATGTGGCCTTCCGAAACTGCAGCGCCCAGAACGATGGGGGGGCCCTGTTCTTGGCTTCGCGGTTCTCGAAGATTCAGACGCTTGGCGGAGGATGGAGGGAAAGCTAGAGGAGCGAGATAGTGCCCTAACGGTCCCTGCCCTAACGGTCCCGCTACGTGTAGGGAAGAACTGTGACCCCTTTCCATCCCCAAACGGTACTTGGAGCCTTTGGGGGGGCACACAAAATTCCGCAAGGGATATTCTTTGGCCCTGTCAGTCCGACCAAGCAGAAGTGTTGCAATTGTTTTGCCTCGTCATGCTTGGAGCAGCAAGAATTGCAGCCAACGCAGCCTCGCGATGCGTCCAGCTCACGCCAGGCAATCCCAACGAAACCCAACGAAGAAACGCATGGCCAAAGACAAACAAAATCAAACCAGGCCAAGCATATCCAACCGACTCCAGGCAAGGCCAACCAAAGCCACGCAAGACAAAAACACAGCCAAAGCTAGACAAGGCGACAAGCCAAGCTGGCAAGGCCCAGCCATGCGCCAATCAAAGCCAACAGAACCACGCCAAGTAAACCCTGATCAAAACCAAGCCGGGGAAACTCAGGCAGCCAAGGCCAACAAATCTCAAGCAAGGTCAAGCCAAGCAAAGCCAAGCCAAGCAAGAGGCAACCAAGGCCAACCAATGCTAAGCGCCAAGCTAATCCCACCAAAGGCCAAGCAAGGCCGGCCAAAGCCAACCAAAGCAGCCAAAGCAACCAAAGCAACCAAAGCCAAGCAGACAGAGAAGCCAAGGCCACACACAACACCATCACAAGGCCACGCACGAAGCTCACCAAGGCCATACCAAATAAAGCCAATCAAGGCCGGCTCAAAGACAAGCGTGGCTGAACGCCCAAACAAACCAAAGCAAGCCCAGTCCAAGCCACGCCTACTAAGGCCAAGCAAGCCAAGCTAGCCAAGCAAAGCGAGCCAAGCAAGGCAGCGTATCAAGGCCAGACGAACCCAAAAGCAAAAACCAAGCAAGGCCAGCCACTCCCAGCCAAAGCAGAGGCACTCAAGGCCCAAGGCCAAACAAAGCCGATCAAGGCCACAAGCCAAGGGGCAAGCAAGTCAGCCATACAATCCAAAGCCACGCAAGACAAAAACACAGCCAAAGCTAGACAAGGCGACAAGCCAAGCTGGCAAGGCCCAGCCATGCGCCAATCAAAGCCAACAGAACCACGCCAAGTAAACCCTGATCAAAACCAAGCCGGGGAAACTCAGGCAGCCAAGGCCAACAAATCTCAAGCAAGGTCAAGCCAAGCAAAGCCAAGCCAAGCAAGAGGCAACCAAGGCCAACCAATGCTAAGCGCCAAGCTAATCCCACCAAAGGCCAAGCAAGGCCGGCCAAAGCCAACCAAAGCAGCCAAAGCAACCAAAGCAACCAAAGCCAAGCAGACAGAGAAGCCAAGGCCACACACAACACCATCACAAGGCCACGCACGAAGCTCACCAAGGCCATACCAAATAAAGCCAATCAAGGCCGGCTCAAAGACAAGCGTGGCTGAACGCCCAAACAAACCAAAGCAAGCCCAGTCCAAGCCACGCCTACTAAGGCCAAGCAAGCCAAGCTAGCCAAGCAAAGCGAGCCAAGCAAGGCAGCGTATCAAGGCCAGACGAACCCAAAAGCAAAAACCAAGCAAGGCCAGCCACTCCCAGCCAAAGCAGAGGCACTCAAGGCCCAAGGCCAAACAAAGCCGATCAAGGCCACAAGCCAAGGGGCAAGCAAGTCAGCCATACAATCCAAAGCCACGCAACCACAGAGCCCAGCAAGGCCAACCAAAGGCAACTGCAAGCTAGGCCAAACAAGGCCATGCTAACGCCGAGGAAGCCAAGCCAGCCAATCCATGGCAAAGGCAGCCAAGCAGGGCCAAGGCCGCAAGCCAAGACAACCAGGCAAGGCCGTAAGCCAAGACAAACCAGGCAAGGCAACAAACAAACTTAGCCAGCCAGCAAGCAAGATCTGCCAAGGCCAAACAAGCCTAAGCCAGGAAGGCCAGCCCAAGCAAGCAAAGCCAGGCAAAGCTACAAAAGCGAAATGAGCCAAACAATGGCAAGGTAGCCAAGTAACGCTTTGTAGGCAAAGCCAGGCCAAACAAAGCCGGGCAGCGAGCAACTCGGAGCAAGCCAGCCGAGAAAGCCACGCAAAGCCAAGCAAGGGCAAGCAAGCCATGCAAAGCTAAGAACACCGGCGGATTTACCACCCTAGACAACAGATCGTTTTGGGATCAACCAGTTTTGTTACTGCTACGCACACGCAGGAGTTATCAGAAATTAGACATGGGGGCATGGGTCGCTCCGTCAAAACCGCTGCCCCGTCCAAACTAAGGATCTCCGGAGGCTCCATGCTTTTCGAGAACTGCTCTGGGAGGGTTGGGGGCGCCCTCTCCAGCTGGGGACCCTCGCTGCTGATCGAAG